TGGAGCCAACAGAGCTGGAAAACAGAGCCATGTAAGGCCTGACGCCGAACATAAAGCTACGAGAGTTTGTGCTGCTGAGTTTGGATCTGGGTTTGGTCCAGTTCTCCCTCACCATGTCATAACCCCTCCCTTTTGTAAGAGTGATGTATAATCTGTGTCGTTGTTTGTTGTTGTATGTCGGAAGTGTGTAGTTTGCTTTTGATTTTACAATGAATGACAGTTAAGAGATTGCCTTGATTGGAAGAGATTTGAACTTTGGACTTCGTTATTGTTTTGTTTTGGGATAGTGTCTCTGCATAGCCCTGAACTGTTGTGGAACTCACTCTGTAGATCAGGCTGGCTTCGAACTCACAGAGATCTGCCTGCCTCTGCTTAAAAGTATGTGACACCACCACCACCCGACTTAAAATTCAGACTTTCAGTGTTAAGACCAAAAGACTGGGGAGTTTTGAAGTTGGACTGTATGCATTTTGCCTTATGATATGGCCGTGAGTCTGGGGGGGGGGGCAGGAAGTGGAATAGGGTGATTCGAATAAGAAATCCCATATAATTGTCAGGCTTTCGAATACTTGGTCCCCAGTTGGTGGGAAGTTTGTGACGTCGTCGGAGGTGTGGCTCTGCAGAGGAAGTGTGTCACTGGGACAGGCTTTCGGGTCTCAAGAGGCACTCGGTCTCTCTGTCCTGATTTCAGTTTGAGGTGTGCACTCCAGGCTCTTCTTGTTTTTCATAAGCTGCCTTGGCCCCCATGTCGATCACAGCAGGAGAAAAGTAACATCGTAAGCCTTGTTTCGTTTCTTTAAATAACCTTGAAGAGTTTAGCCCCATTTTACAAATGTAAAAACTGGAGTTAAGAGATCAACTTCTACTTACTAATTAACAGTCACTCAAATCCAGCGGGGGGGCGGGGGGGGAGTCCTACTCCTGTTAACATACTATCCCCCTGCGGTGGTGCCTCTGTGGGCTGTGTTTATCTTTTACTAAATGGGTATTGACAAAGTCACACGTGCAGGTGACTGGGGCTGTGCTTTCCTGCATTGAGGAGGCTCCTGTACCCAGTGGCAGCTTCCCTGGATACAGCCAGAGGCATGAATGAAGTGGCTTTGACCCTGCTGCCTCTGCTTACTGGGAAGCCTGTTGCCAAAGCCGCCTCTCCTAAGTGTTTGGGTCCCAGGCCCAGAGGAATTAGAGAGCTCCCCGATGTTAGTTCAGCAAACCTCCCCGAGAGCAAGGCAGATTAAAAGGAGCCTTGATGGACAGGTTTTGGAGTTGACGTTGACGCGAGTCAGCGGGATACTTAAGGGTCTTTCCTACTCATGTGTGCCTGCTTTGTTTTCCCTTCACTCAGGCACCCACGGGGTAATAGGTGAACCTGTTCTGAGGTACATGTCTCCGCCGTATCAGCAATTGGCAAGATTTATCTGATAGCACAGACCTGGAATAAATTTTGACCTTCCTCAGCTCTCTCGTGTTCCCTCACTTCTGGTTCCCTTCCACGGCCGTGATAATTGCCGTGAATGCGCGCAGTTTAGATGGTGGAGACGTTTATTTGTCTCTCACTTCCTGATCACGATCCATCACTGGGGAAAATCTGGGAGTGTAGAAGCAGAATTTAAAGGTGAAACCACAAAAGGAGCACTGTCTGCTGACTTCCTCACAGGCTCACCTGCCCAGAGAACAGTGCCGCCCACAGTAGGCTGCGCCCCACCTTTCAGTTAACAGGTCCCCCACATTTGTGGTCACAGCCAGTCCGATGTGGACAGCCCCTCAAATGTGACTGGCCTGTAAAGTTGACAGTTAGAGCTGACTAGGACACTCCACCCTTGCTAGCCCGACGTAGAAACATGTCCCTTTAAAACATAACCTCGTCTCAAGTTCTTGTGCTAGTATCACAGTACAAAATACACTCCAGCTATAAAAAGCCAAAGCCTCTTAACTCGGGGATCCTGTAAAACTGAAAAGTTTCCTACTTATTCCAAAAAGGAAGGACCGGGCCATAAAAATGATTAGATCAAAACAAAAACAAAGCCAAGCAGTGTAAGTCAGAAATCCTGTAGCTCACTCTCTGGCAACTGGAACTTAGGCACTGTGTAGTCTTCCCGCTCTGACAGGCTTGGGCAGTCCCACTTCTCCTGCTCCGCTGTAAGCAGCGAGCACAGCTTGTCTCATAGGTTTAAGCTGGCTCCTCTAATACCAGCTGCTCTCCTGGCCTCTGCCTTTGATATGCAGGGGTCTCCATTGCACCTGAGTCTGCCCTTTCACCAGTGGCCTCTGATGCTACCCTCCATGACGGCCTCACGCCTTCAAAACCAGTTCTGCCTGAACAACCCTTAACATACTGTTTGCCAAGTTCTGCTGCAAATGCAAAATACAGCCTGCCTCCCATGGACCAGCTCTTTGCTCTCCCTGTGAAGAAATAGTTTTCTGTTGTCTCAAAGACGTTCAGAAGACCTGTGGTGCTGATCTTTCATTGGTCACAGTGGGGTTTCTGGCCCCAGCTGCCCAGCATCCCAATGTTGACCCGTCAGTACTATTGATCTTGTTAGTCACCGTTGATTCTCCAACACCAGATCATCAGCATGCACACATTTTTTAACCGAAGTATCACGCTGACACCCTCTACCATCACATCTCAGTATTGCCTTTGCTACCCTCTGAAACCCCACAGGACAGGCCTCCATTGTCCCGTGTTTCTCTAAGCATTCTTGGCTTCCAAGATCCCACAAGGGTGGCCCATTAAGCTGTGAGTACTCACCAGGAAGAGACAGGCCAGTCTCATGAGTTCAAGGACAGCCTACTTAGACAAACCCTGTTTCCAAAGGGGTGGGGTGAGGGAACGGGCTTTTCTTTCCACGTAACGCACATCTCCTCTTCTTGTCATGGTGCCTGGCAGCCCAGGTCACAGCAGCCGTGCTCAGTCACACCTGAGGGGATGGTGGGAACCATCTATTCTTTTGCCATGGCCCAGTACTGTTTTTGCACTGAGAAAACCAGCTTGTCTTTCCCAGGCCTTGCTGCTGGACCTCTCTGCCCACTGAGCTAGCTACATGTTGAGACAGATGGTCCTTGGCATGTCTAAGATGAACTCACTGTAATGGTAAAAATAAAACGGCACTGTTCCCTAAGGGGCAGCAGTGGGCAGCAGCCTACAAAGGGCAGGCAACTGGTCCCGGGTGGGTGAGAGACCTTGTTGGCTGATCAGCCAATCTGACGAGGAGCCATGGTGGGTGAGAGACAGAGACATGGTGGGTGAGAGACAGACATGCTATGCAGAGAAAGTGGGTATTTATTTAGTGGGTTGTGGAAGTGAAAGGGGAGAAGGGGGAGAGGAGAGAGAGAAACAGGGTAGGGGGAAAAGAGAGGAGAAGTTCCCTCTTCAAGAGAGAGCTGGAATAGAAGGAGCTCAGGCTGGAAGCTGAAGGAGAAAGAAAGATCTGCTTGCCTTGGTGGGGTTGGGGGGGCTTGTCTCTTAAAGGGACAGGACAGACCATTACACTCATTACTGGGAAACCATGAGTGTTGGTCCCTAGCTCTGATCCCAGCACTTGGGAGGTTGTAGTCAAGAGTTTTCTTTGGGCCACCAGCTCACAAATAAAGACAAGGAGACTTCTTCTTAATTATGGAAGGAAGCTTGGCCAATAGCTTAGGCTTGTTCCTAACAAGCTCTTATACTTACATTAGCCGATTTATAACTAGTCTACATTGCATCACATAGTGTTACCTCTCTTCCATCTTTCACCTCCTGTTTCCTCTCTGTGTCTCCTGGTGCCCCTGTGTGCCTAGATTCCTGGTCCTGCTTCTCTCCCCGGAAATCCTGTTGGTGCCTCCTGCCTAGCTATTGGCCGTTCAGCTCTTTATTAGACCAATCACAGCAATATGTCTTCACACAGTGTACAGATACCCCACAAGAGGTCATCAGAAGGTTAAGCCACCCTGGGTGGCTACTCAATCCGCTGGGGCTAAGAGATGGTTGACAGGTTAAAAGTACCCCTTGCTGCTGCTCCTAGCACCCAGCTCAGGTGCTTCACAAGATCCAGGGAATCCAGTGCCCTCTTCTGGCCTCCATGGGCACCTGCACTCACACACATATTAGAAATGAAATAAGCAAGGTGTGGTCAAACATACCCTTTTTTTCTTTTTAAGTGTATGTATGTATGTGTATTTTGTGTGTATGCGCGTGTGCCTTGTTGGCAATGGGCATCACATGCATGTAAGTGTCCGTGGAGGCCAGAAGAGGGCATCAGATCCCTGGAATTGGAGTTACAGGCAGTGGAGCTGTCTGAGAGGGGTGCTAAGAGTCCAACCTGGGTCTTCTGCAAAAACTGCAAGTGTCAAACCGGGCATGGTGGTGGCGGCGCACGCCTTTAATCCCAGCACTCAGGAGGCAGAGGCAGGTGGATCTCTGTGAGTTCGAGGCCAGCCTGGTCTACAAGAGCTAGTTCCAGGACAGGCTCCAAAGTTACAGAGAAACCCTGTCTCAAAAAAACAAAACAACAACAACAAAACCTACAAGTGTCCTTCACCACTGGGCCATTTCTCTAGCCCCCAACATACACCATTAATCCAGCATCAGGGAGGCAAAGGCAGGCTTGAGTTCCAGGCCAGCCAGGGCTCCATAACCAGATGCTATCCCAGATAAGTGAATAAAGGAACGAATCCTTAAAGAGGGATTGGAAGGTCCAGGAAGATGCCCCAGCCAGGAAACAGGTGGTGTTTGGATAGTGCATGGTAGACCTTGTGTGTTTCGTCCTTGTTTACTTACTTGTGTGTGTGTGAACATGAGTGTGTGTATGCTCGTTCGTATGCACTTGTGTGTGTCATGGCAAGTGTGGAAGTCAGAGGACATCTTTGGAAGTCTCTTCTCTCGTGCTGTAGGTCCCAGGCCGTAAAGTCAGGTGGCCAAGGCTTGCACCATTAGCATTTCCACCTTCCGAATCATCTGGCAGACCCTGCTGGGGTTTTGGTTTGTTTTAATGAAATCTTCATTGCTTCTCTCCAAACAGACAGCTACAGACAGTTCTTCTAATTCCTCACAGAAGAGGGAGCAGCATACGAGGACAATCTCCTCCCCCACGTCATGTGAGCACCGGAGGATTTATACCCTTGACCCATACCCTGTGGACCATTACCAACCCGACCAGGTGAGCAGGGGACTTCATTCCCATGGAAACACAAGGACAGCTCTGCACTGGCCTCCTCCCTCCTTCTCCCCCACCATGGTGGAAGTCCAGGTGGTAGCACCTTGCCTCACTCACCCTGTGTGTGCTCTTATCCAGATCACCCCATGAGGTGGGACATCAGCATCCCTGGTTTACAGATGAGAACGTGATAGAGCTGTAGGGTGCCTGGGAGAAGGAGGTCCAGGCCCACGTAGTACTTGGACTGGTTGTAGGGTTCCCTCTGTTCCTCCATCCAAAGGACCTTCTTGCTATGAAAGCACAAGGCCCAGTCACGGAACACTGCAGACTTGGTCTGCACCCCTAGCATGCGGGCTGCAGGCCCAGTCTTGCTCAGGGAGATGTAACTGCAGTTTGAATTCAATAATTCAACACATTTGTACTAAGTGGCTCTTTTCTAAAACAGGTTCCCAAATCATGCCCCTGTGAGTTATGTGGCCTCTTGGCTTGTAGTAGGAGGCCGCTTTTTGTTCCCAGCTGCTCAGCCCTGAAATAACCACACAAAAACCATATTATTTGCAGTACTGTTTGGCCAGTAACTTAAGCATATTTCTGGCTAACTCGTATCTTAAGTTAACCCATCTCCATTAATCTGTGTATTGCCATGAGGCTGTGGCTTACCTGATAAAGTTCCCTGGTCTGTCTCTGGCGGGGCTACATGGTGTCTCCTGACTCCACCTTCTTTCCCCCAGCATTCAGCCTGGCTTTCCCCACCTAGTTCTGTTCTGCCCTGCCATAGGCTCAAAGCAGTTCTTTATTAATCAGTGATATTCACAGCATACAGAGGGGAATCCCACATCATTGGCTGACTCGAAATGAAAAGAAGCAATTACTGGGCAGCGAGATTTTGCTTCATTTTTGTTGCTGTTTTAAGATGGCTTTACTACTATGTGCTTCCTGTATTTTGACATCAAAGTGTGTTTTGTTTTGTTTTTTTAAATTGGACATGGTGGCGTTAAACCTGTAGTACTGTATTTGGGAGGCTGAGTTAGGACAACATGGGCTACATGGTGAGTTCCAGGCCAGTTTGGGCTAAAAGTGAGATTCTTGTCTTAACAGATGAAAAACCTCAACAACAAAATATTCCATTTTAAACCAGGACGGCAATCCCAGCGCTTGGGAGGTGGTTGTTGTGTGATCCAAATACATTGGTGGGGAGGGGGCGGTGGGGTGAGGGGGGGGTCTGCCTAAGAGTGGTAGATAGTCCTCATGGTGGACAGTCATGGCAGCAGGAGCTTGAAGCACCTGGCCACATTGTATCCACAGCCAGGAGAATGCCTGCAGCTGGCTCACCTTTATATACAGTCCGGGATTCCAGCCCTACAGTAGCCACGCCCCCTCAATTATCTTTATCAAGGTAATCCCCTGAAGGCTGTCTCCCTAGTGACTCAGCAAGTTGATCCTTGAGATTAACCTTCAGGGATGCTTGTAGGATTCCAATCTGGAATCTTCTTATCTGTCTCACTTTTGAGCACCTGTGATTTCAATCAGATGACAGTGACAACACAGGCTAGTGGGCTTGGTACTTTTTTTTCTTCCCACCCCCACCCCAGGGAGTGGTTGCTCACACCTTTAATCCCAGACAGAAGTAAGCAGATCTCTGTGAGTTCAAGGCTAGCCTGGTCTACCAAGAGTTCCAGGACAGAGAAACTCTGTATCAAAAGAAAAGAAAAAGAAAAAAGAAAAAAAAAGCCCACCTCTAAATAAATAATCATCTGGCACACTATAAAAATGTACAGAACTGCTGTACTCTGTTCGAGGTACGCTTAGAACAGGGCACCCTGAGAGTAGCTGACCTAAGGGAGAGGCGGTGAGGTTTGTAAGGCAGGACCTCTTTTTCCTCTACATGGGAATGCTGGACTCACCCAACTGTACTCCTTTATGAGCCAGACTCCATAGCCCAAGCTAGCAGAGAACTCACTGCCGTAGCAGAGGAAGTCCTTGAATGTACTGATCTCCTGCCTCCATCTCCCAACAACTGGGGTTAAAAGGGGTGGTCTCGGCACCTGGACTATGGGATGTTGGGAACTGATTAACTTCAGGGCTTCCTACTTGCTCGGCAAGAATTTAACAGCTGAACTCAAACTGCTCTTAGGGTGGGCAAACCTTCCAACGAAAACCACAGAATTGCGGGGCTCTGCTCATAATTGAGGCTCACAATCTAAAAAGCATCTGGGAGTGAGTGACAAGCTGTCTGTAAAAGGTTGTCTGTCAGCTCTTCTCCAAATCCTTGAAGGAAGGAAAGGCCGGTAGATCTTTCTCTGACGGCTGACCATGGAGCCTCGGGCTGTAACAATATCTGGTTTTTCCCTGGACAGCGGCTGCCGAGGTCCTACCCCCAGGTCACCTTCCCAGAGGACGATGAGGAGATTGTGCGCATCAATCCTAGAGAGAGGATTTGGATGACCAGCGGCTATGAGGATTACCGGCACGCGCCGGTGCGCAACAAATACCTGGATACCGCAGAGGACGCGGACTCCTACGTGCGCTTTGCCAAGGGCGAGGTGTCCAAACACGACTACAATTACCCCTATGTGGACTCCACAGACTTTGGCTTTGGCGAGGATCCTAAAGGCCGTGGTAGCAGCAGCGTGATCAAGACGCAGCCAGCCAGGGGCAAGTCCCGGCGGCGCAAGGAGGATGGCGAGCGCTCCAGGTGTGTGTATTGCAGGGACATGTTCAACCACGAGGAGAACCGGAGGGGCCACTGCCAGGATGCGCCCGATGCCGTGAGAACTTGTATCCGCCGCGTGAGCTGTATGTGGTGCGCGGACAGCATGCTCTACCACTGTATGTCGGACCCCGAGGGAGACTACACGGACCCTTGCTCGTGCGACACTAGCGACGAGAACTTTTGCCTCCGGTGGTTGGCATTAATCGCCTTGTCCTTCCTGGCCCCCTGTATGTGCTGTTACCTTCCCCTACGGGCCTGTTATCACTGTGGAGTGATGTGCAGGTGCTGCGGCGGGAAGCACAAAGCCGCTGTGTGACTCGGTTTCCCGCTCTCCCCCTCTTCCCTCCACAGCCACAGGGAACTTGTGTCTTGCATACCCCATCCCCATCCCACATCTTCTCCCCAGGCCTTCCTGGTCCCTTACAACATCATTCCAAACCTGGGGAATCTACCACTCCTGTGTCAGCCACATAACCCATTCGCTCGCAATGTTCTGAGGAGAGGAGCCTTCTGCATAGACTCGTATGTAATCAGCCTGTGATCGCGCCGGCCGTCTTATCCAATGTCTTATCGCGCGTTGGTTTCCTGTCCCGCCTCCCCACCTCTTCCAGTTCTAAGGGACCTGCAGTAGAAATTTGGATTCGAAGGGGTTTAGAGTTGATTTTTCCTCCGCGGTCGGGTTTGCCTGTCGCTAGCAAGCACGGGTTCGTCGGAGATGTGACCTAATGGTGAGACCCTGTCATAAGTATTGTAACCTGCAGGATGTTGTTACTTCGGGAGGTCAGCGAAACAACTAAACAATAGGGCTTTAACTCCGAAAGTCAAATCGCCCGCAGTAGCTGCGGTTTCTGTCTTTCGCCCATCGGTTTCTGTCTTTCAACCATCCTCATCTTCTGCCCCTCCCCCACCTGTTGAATTCATGCACTCCTGCAAAGCAGTTACCTTTAAAATGACTTGAGAATTGAGCCTTAACTTCAGATTAACCTGTGAGAATCAGGAAAAATTCCTCAAATTGCATTGCATCCTCTTAGACCAGGGTTAGAAAGGGGATTTTGGGTTTTTATGAGCCTGCCCAGTTTACCCCTAAAATAGAACTTTTTTTAGAATTGTGTTGCGACTTCTAAAAACCTTAGCAATATTAGAATAACACATCAGTGAAATAAATTTTCCTCATTGTTTCGCAAACCAAATACATTTATTCAAACACAAACCAGTGTTCTGCGATCAAGTTCCGGTTGAAAAACACTAGAAGTTGTGGTAGATAAAATTATAGCCACTCCCCGCCTCCTGCAACTGTTTTATATTATTCAGGGGGAACTTTAAGTACCATAAATTAGTGGTGCCTTGCATTTTGTTTTAGGCTTAACGTTTTTGTTTTAATTTGGGGCTCGACTCATTTATACTTAGGAAAAAACAAGGCCATATATAAAAACCCTTCCAATGCCTAAGTGTCTTCTTTTCTCCTGCAGCTCCTCACCCACACTTGCCGCTTGGGGTGCACAGATAAGGGTAGATCACCAACTGGTTCTACCTGTCGCTGAGCCACATAAAAGGCTTCTAATTTGCTAGAGGAGGAAAAGGAACTTTTTTTTTAATGTATGTTCCCAGGAATAGCCAAATCTTGAAGAAGAAAAAAAAAAGTGAAAGTGGTTACCTATACCTAGCATAGTACAATCAGAATTTCGTGGGGACCATAAGGGACATGCTTGTTGCCGCTGACTGTTCTTCCCACCAAGATCTTTCCGTGGTAATCACCAGCGGAAGGCAGGCTCAGTCCCTTCTACTTCTTCCCTCTCCCTTTATTGCACACAGGATATCAGTCTTCAAGGAAAAGGACTTTTCTCCAGTGTGGTGTTCATACTGGGAAAATGCTAGCCATGCTTACCGTTGTGGCGATGGCTTCTTCCGCTGGCCTTGACAGCCTGTCTTGTTTCTGTAGACGGATTGTCAGCTCCTCGGCATGCTTCTGAGTTAGTTGGTAGATGTTTTCCTTTGCTGGGATGACTGGTTGGGACTATCTGTTGTAGAAAAGGTGCAGAGATCTAGCATCATTGTCGACGGGTCTCCAGGCCCCGAGGCCTTCTAGACCGCCTCCAACCAGCCTCCAGTGCCGTGGAGAAGCTGTCTGTCCTGGGGCCCTTTCTCCACTGCACCTGTCTGCAAAGCACAACACTAATCTCTTTCCTCAGCCCTCAGTTCAAGTGCCCCTATTTATTTTACGAAGAACCCAGATCCCAGTTGCTTCGCGTTGGTTGCCTTTGTCCTTCTTCCTTCTCCCCCCCCCCCCCTTGCTCATTTCCACCCTTCTTAAGGGTTACGCTAGCAGATCTCCGTCCATGCACCGTTTCTGGTTTGTGAAGGCAGCGGTTAAGGGCACAGAGGCAGCCGTGGGGACGTCGATGTAAATATGTTCGGTTGCCACACTGCAGCGGAGTGGTGTGGAGTATTTTCCCAGTCAGCTTTGCCGTGCTGATGTCAATCATTTGAGAGAAATTATTCAGATTTTATTTTTATAACTGTGGTAACAAAACTTAGCCAAAAGGTTTCCCGTTCAGAAGTTTCCCTGACTCTTCCTTCCCTCCCCCGCCCAAGCTATCTGCTCACATTAACAAATTAAAGTGCCTGAAGCATAATTCATTCACCTGTATACTAAAACCCCTGTTGTATTGATTTTTTATAAGCCTTTTTACCTCTGTAAAAATATACATATATATATATATATACAAGTGTATGATGTACATTTTAGTTCTTAACTTTTTTATGGTTTCTAATATGTATGACCAATGTAGCCATTGCTTTCAAATGTACCATGTAAATATAAACACATCCTCTGAGACCGTTCACTGTGGGTATTTGTCTGACCGGAGTCCTCGCGCAGGATGGGCTGAGGTTTCTTTTGCAGCACACAAGGACGTGGATCTGTCTGTGAAGTCCTTCCCGCCTCTGGTTGTGTGTCCCCTCCATCCACAGGAAGAATGCCCTTCCCTCCCCTCCTGGCTTCCCTACAACCACTCTTCAGAGAGAGGGCTGTGCTTTCTCAGAGCTGTTTCCCACACATCCCTGCTGAAGCCCTAAGAGAGGGCATGGGGACGGGAGACAGTTCTCCGAAGACAGTGGAGATTAGACCAGCCCTTGGTTCCAAGTCTGCTCTCGGCCCACTTTCCAAACGATCTCTTGGATGTCACAGAGCTACAGTGGCATCCCCAGGAGAATATAAAATAGATCTTTGAGGGTTGTTAAGAAAAGTGGTTTCTCCATAGAACGGTAAAGAAGTGTGCAGACCTTCCGTTCTTGTTCTGATGTTCCCCAGAAAGGTGCAGGGGAGGGGGGATTTTCTAAGCCTCTGGCAGAGGTCAAATACAAGATAGGCGCTAAAGGTTAGGTAATGGGGGACTCTGTGCCCCCCCCAAGAGCTGGTGTGGGGGGAACATCGTCCAACCTCACTTGACCTTTCTCCATTCTGGCGTTTTACAGCTAAGACACCAAAGCTAAGAATGGGAGCTAAGGTGACCCTACAGTCACAAGGCAGGGCCTGGTCAGGTTGGCTAGTGACAAACGCCAGGTTCTTAAAGGGCCTTGTCCCAAGCTTCTGGGTCTGTCCCTGCTTCAAAAGTGAGCCAGTACTAACTAGGCTACCGCTCAGATTGCCTCAGGAATGGCACATGGACAAGGTACCAGGAACTGGACTGGCTGTGAGTCTCGGTCATGCTCAAGTCACATGACGAAGGCCTATGCAGAAAAGATGCTCCTTGGTCACAGCCAGTGGTCCTCGGGCAGGTAACTACCCTTCTCAGTTTCCTCTGGCAGAAATGTCACAGGACCCCAATTCGGCTACTCGCTCTTCCTTTTTCCCTTGCTCAGGGGGATGAAAACCTACCAGAAGTAGGGTTCTCATCAACAGAGCTGCTCTGTCAAGGAAGTTGAGCCGCAACGGTCTTGTACCACAAAACACACCACCTTAATATTTTTTAAAAGTTTTATATTTATGCTTGAACTGATTTTTTTGTTGTTGTTTCGTTTTTAAATTTATGTGTTGGTGTGTATGCAAGTGTACTTGGAGGCAAGAAGAGGGTATTGGATCCCCGGAACCAGAGTTAAAAGTGCTTGCAAGCCATCCAGTATGGGTGCTAGCCAACACTGGTGCTGGGAACTGACCTGCAGCTGATGGAAAGGCACCCAGCCTCTGAGCCACCTTTGGAACCCAGCATCGTTTCTGGGCCCCCCCCCCCCGCCTCTGTAAAATATTCAGTGATGTGAAAAAACATTTACCTTTAAAATGACAGAATTATTGAGCCTTGACTTGAGACAATGGGTTGAGGCAAAGATCACTAAACAAACAAACAACAACAACAAAAAACCACTTCAGTTAAGAGTGCTTGCTGCTTTTGCAGGAAACCCAGCTTCGGTTCCCAGCACCCACCCCCATGACCGCTCACTCTGTCTTGAAGAAACAAACAAGAAAAGCCTGAGACAGGAGGATTGCTTTGAGTTCAGTATCAGCCTGGGCTATATAGTGAGTTCCAGCCAACCTGCGCTAAAGTATTCAAAGGCCAGCTTTCCAGGAAGCTGCAGGGGGAGTGCAGGCTAGCAGGCGCCTTCTCACAGGTGGAGGTTTGTGATTAGAGACACATCTGATCCTAATCAGCTCGTCCCAAGATGCTCTGCACCCCTGCAAACCCGGAACAGATCACCATTCCCTAGGATTATTCTCTGCTTAGTTTCCCCTTTCTGCTCCGTCCATTCCACATGGACAGGCTGGAGGAGTGGCCGGCTGTCCTAAGAAAACAAATTCGCCTAGTTGTGGAAAGGGTCAGGTGAGGTGAGGCAGTACCCGTACGAAGTCTGGCCTTGACAAGTGGTACAGTAACCCCTGCGCTGGGAGGTGGTTCCGTAATGTGAGCCACGGGAGGCAAATTACTTCCTTGGTTCCTTGTTTGTTCTGGGCCTTGAGGAAAGATCATCCACTGAAGGAGGCGCCCTGGCCCTGCTCAAGGCATGGGAGGCTGCAGCATGGGTTGGACATTTTGTTAGTCTAGCAGCGACTTACTCTGTATTTCTTCTTCTAATGGCAATTCTCGGTTTGGTTGCTCTTCCTCGCTGACGCTTCCAAATGGCCTAGACAGCCAGCTGCTGCCCACAGATGTATACAGCTGCTGCCAGTAGACGTAACAGAGCTGGCTGGATTCTGGACAGCCAGAATGTGCAACGTGGAAGAAGCCAGTGGCCCCTGTCTGAGCCGTTCTGTGGAGAGAGCTGGTCCCAGCTCAAAAGGTACTCGCCTAACGTCAGGGCACGGTGTCTTCAGGGCACTGCCTGCCTGAACATTTCTGTGGACTCTGGGGTCCTCCCTGATGCTCTTCTGCCACTGAGGTCACAACTGCTCCCCCCTGAACCATGGACATTCATCCCGAAAATTAGATCACTTCCACAGAGCACAGGCTCCGGAGCCCTGTTTAAGGGACCTGCAGCCCAGTTGGTTTTTGTCATGGAATGCAAGCAGGCTTGTAAATAATGGATTCCAGAGCTTGTAGAATCACCTTTGGCTATAGTCATTTTTACTGTAGGCCTTCTGGGCTTTCTGAAGGGTAGAATGAGATGGTTATCTGTCCCGCACTGGGTGGGTGACCTTTGTTTTCCTGGTGGCAGTTCTGGAGGTCAAACCCAGGGCCTTGTACATTCTGAGCTCCTACAGCTCCAACCCAGCCCGTGTGTGTTTAGGCAAAGCCAGATTCTCAAAATGAAGGGACCCAACCCTGCCACACAGTGTCTGGCTTCAGCTTGCTCTCCATGGCTTCTCCATCTTGTATCTTCCATGTCTTGCAAACCAGTACCAACGGATGGCACTGGCAAGCTATTATGGGACCACCTTGGAATGGAGCACCCCTGTACCCTCACCCCCCAGACCACAGCTTTTGTGTGCCAACTCTGGGCAAACGCCTTCCCAGGCAACTGCTTTTGAGGCTCAGAGAACCTTTTCAGCTTATTCTTTCTGTCTTTCAGGGGACTGGGATATCCATGGGTTGGAACCTCCAGAGGGTGTGGTTTGCCTTCAAGACACCCCTGCTATGGCCGCAATGCAGAATGCCAGGTTGCCCTGCAGTGGTGCTAATCTATTTAATGGTTGGGTTGTCTTTAACCCTGCTCACCCCTTTTCTCCAGAAACAATGAATGCTTTATTCTTGACTGTGGATGTCATGAGCTAAGTGATTTCTAAAGTGTTTTCTTCTCCTCAATTCTCGGATCCAGAGTTATAGGAACTAATGAAAGGGAGGGCTAAGTGCAGGCAAGCTTCAGTGGTTAGGGGCTTAGCTCGAGTAGAGCGTGGCTAGTGTGCATGAGGAACTGGGTACATTCCCTCGCACAAAACAGAACGGTGATGGCTCATACTATTCATACGTGCCAGACATGGTGGCACCCGCCTTTAATCCCAACACTCGGGAGGCAGAAGCAGGTAGATTTCTGTGAGTTTGAGGCTAGCCAGTTGGAGGTCTCACTACATAGAGTGAGACTTGTCTCAAAAAAATTTTTTTGACAGGTGGTGGTGGTGCACGCCTATTCCTTGGGAGGCAGAGGCAGGTTCAGGTTGATCTCTGTGAGTTTGAGGCCAGCCTGGTCTACAGATCGAGTTCCAGGACATCCTGGGCTGTTATACCCTGTCTTGGCTAGGTGGGGGCGTTGGATTCTTAATTAAAAAAAAAAAGTAAAGTGAATCTAATAGTTCCTGATTAAAGTCAGGCGCTCAAACATGTCTGAGTTTTGAAAAATATGCTTGACAGCTGACCAGTAGATTTTCCTCATGATTAGTGGAGAATTCGGTCAATGAGCATTCTCCTGGCCTCCTGCTCGTGACCTCATCTTTGGTTACAGAGTTGTCACTTTACATATTAGCGCAAGGCTTCCTGGGAGCTGACAGGGATGGGGCAAGGGGAGGGTCAGGTGAACAACAGGAAAAACTGAGGCTTTACTGGGGCACGATGGCTTCTCTGCAAATGTAGGGTAATCCTTGCTGTAATCTCTTTGTTCAAGGGCAGGCTGGAGGTCAGAAGTTCAAGGTCACTGGAGCAGAGCCTGGGCTAGATGAGAGCCTAGATTAAAAAAAATGGGGAGCAGGGGTATAGCTCTGTGGTAGATGAACACTTGTGTGATTTCACTTCCCAGCACCAGCAGGATGAGGGGTAGCATGTGTGTGTGTGTGTGTGTGTGTGTGTGTGTTATAAAATAATAAAAATGAAGTGGATAAACTCTCACAATAGCTGTATCATTCACTGCACTATTTTCTGCCAAGTGGCCAAAGTATGCAGCTATAAATTTACATGTGTGCCAAAGATCGGAGGACACAAGTCTGATGTGACAATATAGTGTTCTCAGAGTCTACCGCACAACTAACTGTCAACTGTGAGTCTTAGGATAGTATCAAAGAGCTAGCCACAAGACTTCAAGGTCATTAAAATCCTCTTACTAGCCAGACTTGGCGGCACACACTTCTAATCCCAACACCCAAAAGGCGGTGGCAGATAAATCTCTCTGAGTCCAAGGGCAGCCCAGAGTGCATAGTGAAACTCTGTCTAAAAAGAAAAACAAAAAGAAATTAAAACACACACACACAAATCCCCTTATCTCTCCCATAACAGATCAGTCTAGGGTCAGATTTTCTCCATATAAGTCATCCAAATAACACCACACCACAGGGGCTGGAGAGATGGCTCAGCAGCTAAGAACACTTCCTGCTTGCAGAGGATCCAGATTGGGTTCCTGGCACTTCCTGGTGGTTCACAATGACCTCCAGTCCTAGGGTATCGGCTGCCCTCTTCTGGCCTCCACTAGCATTGCATGAACATGGT